TGATCACATTCTGTCCCCATTTCTCTCTATAGTCTGCTGATTTCTACTGTTGTCTGTGTGTTGTTCTCAGACCATGTCTACCGCAGCAAACTGACCCCACTGTGTCTTTGTGTCTGAGCCTGCATTCTGCGTCCTCTACAACCTTACTTACTGATCACTTCCTCTCTGTCTTTACATGAACGCCTGCCTGCCGGACTTTCTCATCCTTTGAGAGTTTCAGAATATTAAATGCAGTATTCAAAATGAAACTGAAAAAAGTCCAGGTACAGATGCGCTAACTGTAGAACTTAATCAACAGTTTTGGGATAAAGTTGAAAATTTGATTATAGATTCATTGAATGAAGGGTATGAAGAAGGAGAACTAAGTGAGAAACCAAAGCTTGGCTTAGGCATATTAACTTATAGGAAAGATGGTATTAACTGGCTAAGTATTAAATATAGATTACAAAATTATGTATTAGAAAGTAGATTGAAAGGCTTTAAAATTGTAAGAAAATACATAAATAATACGTGATATAAAGAGAAAGGACAGAAGAACAAAGCAAAAGACGGGCAAACAATTATGAGGGTATTAAATGACAAAAGAAAGTTAAAGGTTTGGGAATCTATCTCGGTACAAATCAAAAGATTTGTAACAATTTGAACTGGGAAAATAGAATTGTCTCTCTTGACAAGTCCGAAAAGTCCGAGATGTTGAAAGTCGCATAGATATGTTGAGAAAAGCATGGATAAAAAAGACTCATTGATGGTTCAAGTGCCTACTGGAAAATAATACCGTAATCATATTATGAAAAATTTGGTGCCAATAACTTGATTTTCAAAATGAATATTGGCAACTTAAAAAAAACTCATTGATTTAGAAAATAATATTCCTGCTTATTATGTTAGAAGTATAGAACCGTAGGTAAAGTTAGAGGGCGGAAAACCAAAAAATAGGACAGAATTTAGGGATATTAGGAAAGAAATAATTTGGAGAAATAAGCATATCAAAAGTAATGGTAAATCCTTAATGTTCAATAAATGGATACGTAGTAAAATCAAATTAATAGACGATGTTTTAAATAACAGGAGATTTGTAGAAGAGAATGTTGTACTTCATAAACTTAAATAAAAACAAATTGGATTAGCAAAATGATACAATTAAGGCAAGCGATTACAAGAGTGGACAAAGAGCCTGAAAACAGTGGCCTCATTAAAAACAAAGGTTAAAAAAGATAGCGGCATGTTTATGATGAAGAGCCGGAACAATACACAACATTTAGAAAATCTAACAAAGCATTTTATGAATTGGTGATACAAAGAAAGTTTATTGAAAGTTTCTGTAAAGAAGCTGGAAAGGTAAATTTAACATGTCAGATATATAAATTATGATAAACATGTTTAGCTATATATTTAGTATGGAAGATAACAATTACAAAATAATCAAATGAAAACTCTACAGCAAGACACTTCCCAATGAAGAGCCGCTATATAAATTGAAAATAGAGACAAACAATTCGTGTAATTTATGTAACATCACTGAAGATTATGAACATCATTTTATTAAGTGCAGGTATTTTCATATATTGTGGAACAGAGTTATGGTCTCATTCGATAGAATGAATTTTGAATAACAACCGTCAGTTACAGTACATGGTGATTGGTTATAAGATCATATACACAAATTATGCTGAAATTGATGAATTATTAACATTGGTTGGATATATACAATTTTCAGAAATTATTATGTTAGTGAACAGAAGAAAAGAATTGATCCTTCGTCAATACTTCAGTATGAAATTAAGTATTTTATGTCAAATGCAAACACAAACAAAGTGAAAAAATATCTGACACGTTTCACGGAAAACTTAGTCAGTGATAAAAGAATTTTAACAGGCTTGTCACTGACGTATACAAGGCTTTGGTAGGAATAATTCCCATATTCGTTCAAAGCCTGGTCAATGGTGCCAATAGCTTGGTTGATGTGTCTAAAGGTGTTTGAACCAACACAGAAGTTCTCTATACGATTGATCAGGTTGCTGCTCGATGAAACGACAATATCTAAAAATGTAAGGTGCATTTATATTGATATTCAAAGTGAAACAAATATGTTATTAGCATTATTAATGAAGTAGATCACATAAAATCATTTTATAAACTCTATAAAATAATAAAAATAATCCATGCACTGTGATGAGAACAACAGCGATAATATAACCAAAACAGGCGAAAATTGATAAAAGAAGTCATACGAAATGAATCAATAGGGGTTAAGAATGAAAAAGATGTTTGGGTGTACATTAGAGTATATGTGCATGCATATATGTGTGTGCGTAAGTGAAGTAATATAATGATTTGTTTTTGTGAAGCGGAGTTGAATGATTGTAGACGTGTGTATTTATGTTAGTATGTACAGGTGTAAATCTAATGAGATGCGTAGCATGAAGGTATGCAAGTGATAGAAGGTATGTACATGTATGTGTACGGAGAAGAAAGGTGTGTATGCAAGTGGTATGCTATTATATGTGTAGATGAGTGTATTGGTGAACAGATCGTGGAAGGGAGAGAGAGAAATTGGCTGTGGAATCACGTGGGTGATTGAATGTATATAAAATGTTTTTCTTTACGTGTGAATAATGCATGGGTCTTTAGGAAGAAATCAGGTAAATGAGATGCAAAGGGCGATGGAAAATGGATATATATTATATTTATGCTTGGTTGCTAAGTTATTGCTCTGAGCGTAAAAAAATATATTAGAAAGGGAACGATATTGTATATTACAAATTCAAGAATAAAGCCCTTTTACAAAAGCTGAAGATGTCGAAGATCAAAAGTGACACCACAAGAAGTATGTTGAATTACATGCAAACTCTATGTAGCCGTATTCTTTATAAAAGAATATACAACTGAAAATGTTCAAATATACACAGTGTATGTATATACATTTGAATATATATATATGTGTGTATGTGTGTGTGTGGGTGTGTGTGTGTGTGTGTGTGTGTGTGTGGTGTGTGTGAGGGTGTGTGAGGGTGTGTGTGAGGTTGTGTGTGTGTGTGTGGTGGCGTGTGCGTTTGGTGGTGTCGTGTGTATTGGTGTGTGTGTGTGTGTGTGTGTGTGTGTGTGTGTGTGTGTGTTTGTGTGTGTGTGTGGGTGGGTGGGTGTGTGTGCGTGGTGGTGGTGGTGGTGGTGTGTGTGTGGGTGTGTGTGGGTGGGTGGATGGGTGTGTGTGCGTGGTGGTGGTGGTGGTGGTGTGTGTGTGTGTGTGTGTGTGTGTGTGTGTGGGTGTGTGAGTGTGTGTGTGGTGGTGGTGGTGGTGGTGGTGGTGGTGGTGGTGGTGTGTATGTGTTTAGAAAGTAATAACAATTCAAGTTTAAAGTAAAATTTATTGATTTTAATATTGCACAAGAGATCTCGACTGTGCGTTGTTCATGAATGCATTTCTGAATGGCCATAATGAATCAGTTGTTGCACATTTTCTAATTAAATGTGCTATGTATTTAAACATGGATTTGGAATAGTTTAGCCAAGTGACAATAAATAAGACTCAATATTGTTTTCTAAAACGACAAACGTCTATGAAATATTTACAACTGCACATCATTCTAACACGCAGACACATGGCAAACTGCTGACATAAATATTTACAGCGTACACTCATCTGCTGACAAATGGCAATCACCTGACATAAATATTGAAAGGGTTCGCATCAGCGTATGTGCACACGTTTGCATTGGACAGTGGTGCAATATATTAACGTGCAAGTTTATTTCCAGTTAATAGTGCAAAATTGTCTTATATGATGTATTGTTATGACAGCGATATGATACCTAAACATGTGATGGCCAACTGGTGTTGTATATAACATCAATTAGAAAGAAAGTTTAACCCGAAAGACAGAAGATTCTCTATACAACATCGAGATACATTTAAAGAATTTCAGCATAGCAATAGTTCTCCGCGACGATGAGTGGCATCATCAATACATTAAAGACATATTCTATAATTCTACCGCTGAGGAAAGGCATGACTTGACAATAATATGTATACATCTATATGTTTAAATATACGACTAAGAAATCTCAGCCTTTGGAATCAACCTGTCAGTCATTCGCCAGCCATCTCTTAACTATTTCACCACATAGTGTTAATAAGTCCAAAGCAATCTTCTTAATTGACAAGCATTAGTACACACAACATGGCTTATCAGTACGCACAATACCAAGAAACCAGAATCTTAGTGCCTGCTCTATAGTCCTGTTCATTCTGATTAATCAGGAAGAGGACCAACAGTCCACCAATTGGTTATTATAAAAATACATTAGAGGTCTATACTGGTATATCAATCACGTGCACTTACAAGGGAATGAGAACTGTAAAGGGTGTTTTTATTATACTTCCGACTTTAGTGGTGTTATCAAACGCTTGATGCAATAGATTGTTTTTTTTCTTTTTTGCAAAATTCATCAAATGAACACTTGTTATCTGGATTTATTTAAGACATTTATATACTTCTCGATTTCTTCCATCCTCGAAAATACCGAAAAATAGCACCTCGTCTTAAATAACTTTTACATTACTTGAATAAAGGCATGTGGTTTCTTTGGGTTTAAGTCGACAGCTGACTTCATATAATTTCGTTAAGGCATTCTATTAACTTTATCAATATTGCATGAGAGTAACAAGTCTATCATGCTTGTTTTAGATGGATATTTGAAAATAAACTATCTCAAAGAAACAATTCTTCAAACAACAATATGCAGTCTTGCAAGAAAAATCACATGTCCCTGCTACAGCTGTTGAATTCAGAATACATATATGCATGCAAATATTATAATACTTAAAGGTTTTAATACTGATGGACGAAAGAAACATTTTGCGATTTTTCCCTCCCCGCACAAACATCCTCACACAGCAGGCCTGTCACACACAGCATGGTTTGTTTTAATGTTTTACTTTGTTTATTGTTGAACAGCTGAATGATGTCACGTAATCGAAGGTGGTTGTTCCTGTTGGGGACAATGTGCCTCTTTTCCATTCTTCTATTTAAGTAAGTATTTGTCCTATAGCCACAGCATTACATGATTTTTATTATGTACTATCTGGCATCGTGGTTTCTAGCTCAGAAAATTAAAGAGATTGGCGATTGGGATGTAAAGCATGTATAACATTCTTCTATTGACCCAGTTTCATATTAAAATTCAAACCTCAGACAGCAAATCCTCTTTTTCGTGATTTTCCAACGGTAAAACAGTTAAAGTCCATACTTCTAAGATTTGTTATAATATATAAACATGTTGTGTGCAATCATACGACAAGCTAACAAGAACACTTTTAATTCAATTTTAACAAATTGCATACTATAAATCTTACTTGATTTGTTTTAATTTCTAGGAAGATTTGGTCTGACTCGGCGTTTGCTAAACTTCCTACCTACGGAATACATGGGAAAGACGAAAAGAGACCAAGTATTCTGATATCACATACTGACATGAACTTTCAAAAGTCTTCTTCTGGTACAGAAGAAATCGATATTTATCAAAAGATGAATGTTACAAACGATAACATTTTTTTGTCTGTAAGACTGTCTGAAATTTTAGTGTTACCAACAACTTTCCCATTAAGAATTGGAGACACTTTGAGGATAAGAATCCGACTGTTTGGCACAGACGGTAAACCTGTGAGTACCGGTGGTGACTTCCTCAGAGTATGGTTAAAGGAGACGAAGATCAAAGCCAACGTCAATGGATACGTCTTAGATCACAGAAATGGGTCGTATACTGGGGTACTACTCTTACCATGGAAAGGTCGTCCAGAGGTCATAGTGTCAGTTGCTAACTCACGACATCACATATCGCTTATTATGAAGTATGTGAATGAACATGGGCTGCTACAAATGATGGCTTCTCAGTTCATAGACCCGAGTGGTAGATATAAGGAAGAAACGCAATGCAGCCCGAAACACGACGCCATTTTAAAAGGATGTACATTGGCGGATAGATGTAACTTGACCAAGCAAAATTATGGACTTCCATGGTTTTGTTGTAAACCAAAGTCTACTTTTGTGACATGTAAAGACATGAAAACTGTGAAAGCTAATAAAACAAGCATGATCAGTGACCTAACAAGGCATATTTCAACGTTAGTAGATAGTTGTCCAAGATTTTGCATTTCAGTAGAATTTCCTGTTTTTGTTCATTCGTTCGTTCGTTTGTTTTTGCTGTTGTTTTGTTTTTGTTTTGTTTTGTTTATTCATTTATGTTAATTTAACAGTCATAATAAATATAAGTCGTTGCAATGATCATATGGACTCTCGAATTTTCAGTGATGTAGAATTTTGAATACCTCCCTACTTAGAGCTGAGAACATTAAACTTTATTTCTAGGATGGTGAACGCTGGGCATAATGTCGAGAGATGAGATACATACACAACTAAACGTGATTTTATTACACATAATCATGATGATTTCCATACATCTGTTTCCTGTAAGAGAATCATTTATTTTTAAGTATTTTGGTGCATTAACAAAAATTAATCTTTTTGAATACAAAATATCTCTTAAGACATTAGTCATAGAAGAAGTGGTTATCAGCAATCTTAGAAATGGAGAGGCTGTCGTGACAAAACTGTATTTCAGGTTAACTCTTTAATTGATGATGTGTTCCTACAAATAATTAAGAAATTTGTAAGACAATCTTCTCTTGCAGCATCTGATTATAGAACTATATACTTTGACCTAATCTTGGTCCTTCATTGTGTATTTAGTTCATTTTTGTTGTTTTATTGTTTTTAGGGGGTGAGGGAAGGGTGGGTTGATTTGTTTTGTTTGTTTATTTGTCTTTTTTTCTTTTTCTCAAAAATTTCTTGGTTTTTCTTTGGTGACGTCACGATGTATGTGACGGTATGAAATTATGACATCACAATGGAATCGTTCTGGATCTTTTACCAATAACAGCTTTGTTAGGTCAAATGTAATTGGTTTTATTATACATATTACTGCATAGCTATGCTAGACATTTATTAATAGGTAACGCTTGTTGCTGCGTTTAAGTATGTAATGTAATTGAGTTGTACATAAATACTACATTTTTATTGCAAACATCTTTACTACTCCATCTACTTATTTCTGTATCAAATTTCACATACATAGATAAATAGCATATATTATATTTGTTTCATTACAGGTACAAGAAGCACCAAAGATTCTCCTCTTTTAAAATACAAGTTAAAGAAAGTAAGTTATATTATTGGCAAGCGAGTATGATCTGTATGACGTCATTGACGTGTTTTGGAAATTCTAAATATCTAAATTCATATATATTTGCCACATATAGACAAATACATACCTGTCTATTTTATAGACAAATTGACACGAAACATTGTATACAATCTTTCAACAAGATAACTTTTGATGTAGTTCTGCTTTCTTGTGCAATATGTTGGTGTGTTGGTTTGTCGTGGAATTCTGTAGAGCTGGCATTATCCTCAGTCAGCTTTGTGGGGAAAACATTACAAGAGACACGAACTGCTTACTCTTCGGAAAAACTAGAATATTGATTAGGTTTTGAGATTTAAACCCTTAGCGTTACTGATGAGTCCTAGAACGACTGTATGATACAGTTTAATCCATACTTTGGTTATACTGCGTCTTTATTTATTTTTGTATTAAATAGTGCGCGGCACTTGAGTGTCCTTTGCACACCCCTTGCGCTTTCTTGTGTCATTAATGCGTCATGTCTGAATCGATTTCGAGTTAGAAGTGCTGTTTTGTTTTCACGTCAATATTCTCTATATTTTTGTCAATCAAGATATAACTGGAGAAAAATGCCCTAATCAGTCAAGTTGTATATGCGAGTGTATCTGGCAAGATAATTATTTTATCAAATAAAACTAAATACTGATGAACTAGATTATACCTGTAGAAGCAAATCGGATATTAACTCAATACAATAAATGCACAATATTATATAAAAGTACGGATCCTGTTTCTGCGATTTCAGAATTTTAACCAGCTCCTTATATACGTTGAAAATATACGATATCGCATATTATTCTTGTTCATTGATGCCACCAATTAAATTCATTGCAATTGAAACGCGGCATGGAGCAGAAGTTCAAAAAGTGATGATGTTGTGTAAAATATTTCAAAATTGTCATGTGTTGTTTTTAAGGATGCAGCTGTATACCAATGACAGTTTCTTGGAATGTATGTCATATATAAAAAGTATTTACATATATTTTTCCTCGTTGTCCTTTGAAAGTCTTTGATGAGTTAGAACAAAACTCCTTGCAATATTGTGACAACTATTAACATTCTTTTCCGTTTATTTAAAGGAATTGGTTATCCTGAATACTTGCCTTCACCGCCACGACCTTGTCAGGAGCGCATGCCTAAAGCAACATGGAATGATATCACACCTGTCGGCTATTACTTTAAGAATACATGGATTAACCGGAAGTGTACACTTGGCACAAGTCGGCCCGATACCTGCTTGGATAATAAGAGATTTGTAGTGTTGGGTGATTCAAATAGTCGATCAGTCTATTCTATTTTCTGTTCAAAGACTAAATCAAAAACTCTGACGGATCATTACACGAAAGAAAAACCTTGGCACAAGCTGTTAATGGCGCGGAACATAAAACGTAATATAGACTTGATGTGGGCTCCTCATAACCCACCATTTTATGTTGGTCCTCATCAACCGCTTGACACAATGCGGTCAGTTGGAAACTGGCTGGACAGGACACCTCATGATAAACCAATAATAGTCATCATACATCTGTACTATCATCTCACCAGGACAACTTTGTCTGTGTTTCGTGCCCTGGTCAAGGACGCACGTGCTGGCGTTGATCGTCTGCTAAGAAGAGCCCCAGATTCTACAGTTATCATACAAGGTCCACATTCTATCACGTACAAAGACAGTCTTGAACCCCTTGACTATATTCGGCGAAGACATGAGGACATATGGTTCCAAGAGTTCATGGGAATACACAATAAAGTCTTCTACATCGATAACTGGGACCGTACTGTTGGAAACGAAAATGTAGACGCGCATCCGCCTACCAACACAATGACAGATGTTACAGACGAAATGCTATCTTATATATGTCGCGATGTAGTTTAATGTCAGTGATATCTTATATATGTCGCTATGTCGTTTTATGTTACTAATATATCTTACCATGTCGTTTAATGTCAATGATATATATTTCAAGATGTCGTTTAATGTCAGTATTATCTTATATATGTCAAGATGTCGTTTAACGTCAGTGATATCTTATATATGTCAAGATGTCGTTTAATGTCAGTATCATCTTATATATGTCGCGAAGTCGTTTAATGTCAGTGATATCTTATATATGTCAAGATGTCGTTTAATGTCAGTGATATCTTATATATATCTAGATGTCGTTTAATGTCAGTGATATCTTATGTATATATCTAGATGTCGTTTAATGTCAGTGATATCTTATATATATCTAGATGTCGTTTAATGTCAGTGATATCTTATATATATATCTAGATGTCGTTTAATGTCAGTATTATCTTATATATGTCGCGATGTTGTTTTATGTCAGTATTATCTTATATATCTAACCATGTCGTTTAATATCAGTATTATCTAATATATCCCATCATGTAATATATATATCTAATATATGTCAAGATGTCTTTTATGTCAGTGATATCTTATATATATCTAGATGTCGTTTAATGTCAGTGATATCTTATATATGTCAAGATGTCGTTTTATGTTACTAATATATCTCACCATGTCGTTTAATGTCAGTGATATCTTATATATGTCAAGATGTTGTTTTATGTCAGTATTATCTTATATATCTAACCATGTCGTTTAATATCAGTATTATCTAATATATCCCATCATGTCGTTTAATATACGTATTATCTAATATATGTCAAGATGTCTTTTAATGTCAGTGATAACTTATATATATATCTAGATGTCGTTTAATGTCAGTGATATCTTATATATGTCGCGATGTTGTTTTATGTCAGTATTATCTTATATATCTAACCATGTCGTTTAATATCAGTTTTATCTAATATATGTCAAGATGTCTTTTTAGTCAGTGATATATCATTTCTTTTGCGGTGTCTTTAATGTCAATGATAACTTACTTTCGGGCGATGACAGTTAACATCAATATTGTCTTATACATGTCGAGATGTGGTTTTAATGTCGCTGATATCTTATATGTGACGGGATGTCGTTTAATATCAATAATATGTTATATATGCCACGACGTCGTTTAATGTCATTGATATATATGTAATGGTGTCGTTTTATGTCAATGAAAAATAATATAGCGAGGTATTTCACCATGTCGTTAAAGTCAGTGACTATCTTATATATGTCGCGATGTCGTTTAATATCAATAATATGTTATATATGCCACGACGTCGTTTAATGTCAATGATACACAATCGAATCACTTTTGCAGTTGATAATTATATTCACCCTCTCGCTAATAACATCAATTGTCGACGATTTAATACAGACACTACTGAGCCATATGATACAATAACTTAAAGCTATCGTTTTATTTCATTCAGTAAGAAAATCTTGAATTGATCAATAACTTTTGATAATAAAGTTTTGATTATATGAAAATCTGCTAAAATCGACAATTGTCTAATATGGGGGTTATTTGTCGACATCATTTGTCGACGTAATAAATGAGAAACTACCCGTAAATTAAAACATTTCACAGGATTTCACTTTAAGTTTCATGCTGATATGTATGATAAATCCGTTATTAATTCGTTGTTTGTTATTTGTGTACATTGTAAGATATTTGAATATATAATGATGTTGTAATTTTGTTTGTTTTTTTTTTTACAATTCCTTTTTTTTTTTTTTTTACATCATTGAATGAAGCGATCCACACACCAGGGAAATGTAAAAAGATACCCCATTCAAACAAAGTAGAAGTTCCAACAGACCCGTGAGGTGGCGTGTTGCCATTGAATCCTCCAATCATTATCAAGTGGGCGGAGCTAGATTTTTTTTCCATTGAAATATGAGAGAGAGAAAAAACCACTCAGAAATATGCATTTTCAGCACAAGCAACGAAACTTTAATTATTGTTCTGTGAAAAGATTTCACTTACTAATCATGTCTTGCCTCGATCCATGGCGTTTAATAATACAGTTTGACAGTTTGGTTGTTATGATAATCTTCTAAAATCGGCAACTTGCTAACATGGTGGTCGATCAGGCCGATTGCGATAGGGTTCAGAAATCTGGTAATTATCAATATCCAGCAAGAGGTAGATCTGTTCGAATTTAATTTAATTTTTAGCTTTACTTTATTAGTCATTTTAATGAATGGCAGATTTCCCTTTTATTAGCTCCGTCAGAATGTTGCATAACATGTTTTGAAAGGGGACCAAAATCTAGACCTTAATGAGGGTGGCAAAATTGGGTCCGCATTTCTCAACTCAAGTAAGATATTGCATTGAATATGGGTGTGTGAAAAGCTGTGTCTAACATGTCTCGTAAAATGTTTTGTTTGCTGTGATATCTTGAAGTTTTGATAAGATAAAGGAATGAAAAATTTCCTTTTTAGTCTAAGTAATTATAAGCCTTTAAAAGACTCCCAAACACCGACTAGCACAATTCCATACTACATATACTCAAACTATTGTACAGCAAAATTAATAGATGATTCAGAATATTGATATCTGTCAACTCCCTTCTCCTTGGAATTAATTTTGTATAAATGGTGAAACTCGGCTCCCTGGGGTGGGGACCAATATTGGAAATAGAACAAATTATTTAAAATCCTACTCTTCCAGTTATAATGATTGGATTTTGTCCTTATTTAGTCTGAATCATGTTTGGGTGATAGGGAGTCTTATTGATGTAAACGGTGGATCACGGCCACCTACGTCTTTTTATCTTTTATTGAATTATAAAACTTAATGTTTTAATCAACTACTCATATTTTCTTATCGGTGATAACTGACTTGATTACTCCTTGTCAAATATATAACATTCTTTTTTTTCTAACTCTTTCTTCTAACTGTTAATTAAGTATCCCATTCTAAAATACTTGACCACGTGATGATCATTTGTGGCACTTAGGCTCAAGGAAGACTGACAATTGAAGCCTGCATACTTTTCAGCAAATACTAATATTATATTGAAAAAGTAATGTTTTCTGTAAAAAAAATCCTAATTACAGATTGTTACCCATCTTATCTTTCCCTACCAGTCACAATATAAACAAATACAACATGATCAATTCAGTGCTTCAAGAAACGGGAATAAAATAAATTGGTTAAGAATGGATGAATGGACAGAAATTAGATAGGTATGGTTTCTTTGAAAGTGCAGTCCTATTTTTTAAAAACATACGAAAAATATTTCAGTCTATAATTTACATTTTAGAACAACTCACTGAAGCGAAATATTTGATCAATTTTTCATCATTAATGATCATCATTGCTACAAGACCTTTTTTTATTAAAAACCTTATACATCCCCTTGACAATCAAGCATACAAAAATGAGGTTTATTAAACAATGACTTATGAAGTAAAAGATGTAATTTAAAAATATGTATAGATATGAATGAGTAGATTCAATCTGTATTTCCATGTTTTTAAACTGGTGAAATTTGTAAATATGTTTAATATTTTTGTGCCTTAACATGAACCAGTGTTTGTAATTGTTTAACGTTCTATAATCGGCCAGAACCTTCATACACTTACTTCTTCCTACTTACGTAAACACCCCTCCCCCTCTTTTAAATGCATGAATAAAATACTATTTAGCATTGATGTTTACCTTTTTATTTAGTTATGATGCAATACTGTAAACAATGAAAGGAAGTGGACTAACATGAGCTATAGTTTGTGTCCATATTTGGTATTATGTATGTTGTACATTTAAAGTAAAGTTACCCTAAACTCACATAGCATACACAGTAACATTTACATAGAATGACACTTACCAGGGTTACGAATAACATAAGAGTCTCAATTTCAGACAATAATTCTTATTTATTTATAGCTAGATTTATGATTATCTCAAGCATCGTTATCTCTTAATTGATCATAATTTATAAGAATTAAACTGTTATTAAATATTTTCATTTTAAAACTATATTACTAAAAGTAAGCAATGTATAATTGAGGTAAAGTTATTATAAAAGATTCATTTCATCTAAAGCGATTATGAATGGTGTTGTTATGTTTCTTACATAAAGAATTGATATTTTACGAGAACAACTATGTTAGGCAGATATCTACATTTTAAGCCTCCGTCTACAAACAATAAAAAAAACAACCTCAAAAAAAATGAAACGTCCATAAGAAAAGGTCTTAGATACTTCGGGTTCACGAAATGTGGCATTTCGATCGCATCGCCTAGTACAATCTCCAAAACAAAACCTGGTTGAGTGTTCACCGATTATGTTAATGCTTTCTTAAAAATGAAAAAGAAAAGCAAGCTAGTGAGTGCTCAAAATAGTGTAGAATTGACGACAAAAAATAACTACATCATGGACTACGAAAACCGCTGGACAAAGACAACATCAAGAAGAACCCTGGATTTAGAAGGCTTGCCACATTCATGCTTAACAGATACATTTTCGTTGTGATAAAACACCAACACAAATATTACTCATCTCGAACTAAAAATAGATGTGTATTCAACTATTTGTACAAACTATTTCATTTTATCAGTTTACTTTTAATAACTTAGGTTTCTTGTGGAAATTCGGTCAATGGATGAACATGGTGCAATCGACCTATGTATCTGACCCTGCCATCTATTTTGACAAGATGACCGGTGATAGCCTGGACTTCAAAGATTGGTGGACAGGTCACACACAAAAGATTTTATGAAGTCTCTGGACGCACCAATGCTGTTGTCGCAGCATATACGACCACTTAAGCTAGGCTTAAGTTGCACAGCTACATAGAGAGAGACTGGATACCCACGTATTCTTTTGTAATGTAGACTCTGTGGTATTCAAAAGAGGTTATGGCCAATGGGAACCTACCCAGGTGATTTGACAGTGGAGGTGGCGGCCTTCGTTTCGCCCAAAAACCAACGCAAGTAATATCGCTCAAGCCTAGCAAAGACTGAAATG